CACTAGATTAGATAGCATTAAAGAGAGATTAGGCAAATTCATGACTGATACAAATAGCTGTAAAGAATAAGCGTGAATTTTACCTTCAATAATGAATAGGGAAGACATTCTAAACAAGGAAAGGCTTTTGCTATCAGATTTTAAATCCCAGGAAACAAGAGACTGACAGTAGAATTAATGCAATTTGACTACTCTTTACCTGCTATGGTTTAATGCTATGGAATCCTGGGATTTGTAGTTTTCAAGATCTTTAGCCTTCTCTGGCAAATGAATGATAGTGCTTCACTAGACTACAACTCCCAGAATTCCACAGAATTGAGCTACAGTAGTTCAAGAGGTGTCAAAGTGCATTAATTTGACTGTGGTTTGATCCAGTCAGACTCTTCATTATAGACAAGCGTCTTTTCCATAGAGAAAAGTCATGCTATTATAAAAACTGAACATAGCTAAGATCCACCCCTATGCAGGCTGCTATTTTTCTCATTGCAAGTTCTTTCATTCAGATTGCAGCCATAAAACACATTCATGGAAATGATCTCTGAACAAATATGATTAGGATTTCACAGTAAGCGTTCTGCCATCACAAAGGTCACAGTAACAGGTTTAGTATCCCTTATCCAAAATGTTTGGGACCAGAAATGTTTTGGATTTTTGTTTTTGGATTTTTGGAATACCTATATTTGCATATATGTACATAATAAAATGAGGCCCAAGTCTAAACACAAAATTTATACACATAGCCTGGAGGTAACTTTATATACAATATGATTTAGTGCGTGGAACAAGGTTTGTGTACATTGAAACATCAGAAAGGAAAAGTGTCATTCTGTTGGTCACCTACGTTGACAGTTTCGGAGTGTTTGAGATTTTGGAATTCTGGATAAAGGATGCTCAACCTGTCATAATGATATCAACTCTAGAATCTCAAAGCTGTAAAACGCTGTCTGACACCACTTTAAAAGCAAAGGTGTCACTATCTCAGCACAAGATTCATTTAGGATTCATACACACACATAGCCTGAAGTAATTTTATACACAGTACTTTTAATAATTTTATGCATGGAGAAAAGTTTGTGTACACTGAACCAACAAAAAGCAAAGGTGTCACTATCTTACCTACTCATATAGACAATTTAGGGTTTAGAGTATTTTAGTTTTCTACATAAGGAATACTCAACCTGTATTTAAAGAGAGATGACTCTATGTAACTATATGTAATGGGAATGTGAACCATCTACCTTAAGCATGACATCATTAATCACTATTTGATTGTATCATTGTACTATCATATATACTGGGTGTTTCCAGTATACACATTTCCTTTGTGGCTCTTTCTTTCCTTCCTCTGTTTCCCTCATAACCACCTCCCTCTTTCCTTTCTTCCTTTGCTTTCTCTCATACACCTTCCCCCTATTTTTTTTCTTTCCTTGCACTTCCCTTCTCCTTTCTTCCATCCCTTTCTGTCTCCTCCTTTCCTCACCTCATATCTTTTCACTTTCCTTTCTCTTCCTTCCTTCCACAAGTAGGCCCGGCCCGGCCCAGCCCAGCCCACTTGAGGGACCGCATCTCCTCCTACTAGCCCACTCCTCACAAGCGCAGTTGGTGGGAATGAGAGACAGGGTATTTTCAGTAGTGGCCCCGCAGCTCTGGAACTCCCTTTCTAAAGAAGTGCGATCGGTCCCCTCCTTGTTGGCCTTTCATTCACAAATTAAGGCCTTTTTGTGGAGCCAGGCCTTCTCAGATTAATTATAATAGACAACTGCCAGAACGCTGCTGGTAATCTTCACTTCTGAATGTTATATTGGACCTGACAATGTTGTGACACAGCCTAATGAAAACTGAGGTTTTTTAGGATCTTTGTATAATCTGTCTTATGAATAACCTCAGTGGCCTGAGGTTAGGGAATGTTTTAATGGCATATGTTGTAATTTATTAATTTGTATAAATTTGATAATTGGGTTGTCTGCTTTAGTTGGGTTATGATGTCTTGTTTTATGTGTATTTTATGTAAAAAAAAAAAGTAATCACTATACACCACTTTGAATCCCACCCATGGGAGAAAGGAATGATAAAAATGAATTAATAATGATGATATGTCTTCTTCCTGCCAGGCTAAATGGGGTGGAACTGGACTCTTTGGCTTCCCTTCCAACTCTTCCAACTTCCAATTGTTTTATATAATTGCTGTTTGTTTAGGGACAATGGTCCTGTGTTAATTTGTTTGTTATTCTTTGTACTGATTTTGTATTATTTATTTTGTGTTTAGCTTAATTTGGTTTATTGGTTATTATCACTTTAGTGGGTTTTTTTTTTTATCATGCCATAAGCGACTTGAGAAACTGCAAATAACTTCTGGTGTGAGAGAACTGGCCGCCTGCAGAGACATTGCCCAGGGGAGGCCTAAATGTGTTACCATCCTGTGTGAGGCTTCTCTTATGTCCCCGCATGGGAATCTGGAGCTGACAGACGGAAGTTCACCCCATCTCAAGAATTCGAAACACTGACCTGCAGGTCAGCAGTTCAGCCAGCACAAGGGTTTAACCCATTGCGTCACCACAGTTCCTTTATTGTGTGTACTATTTTATGTTGAAAGCTGCTCTGAGTCCATTATTATTATTATTATTATTATTATTATTATTATTATTATTATTATTTTACTGACATAAAAACACAATATGTCACAGCAAATGAGATCTATATGCTGGATTTCGTATCACAAAATCACAAGTCGAACTGGGGCCACCTGTACTGGTTTATGCCAGAGCCTTTGCAGTTTGACTTTGAGGTCTTGATAACGACTGTCTACAGATGTCACATGCAACTCCTGGAACGATTCCATCAGCGCTGCCTCCGGAAAATCCTGCAAATCTCTTGGGAAGACAAGCGGACAAACGTCAGCGTGCTGGAAGAAGCAAAGACCACCAGCATTGAAGCGATGGTCCTCCGCCATCAACTCCGCTGGACCGGCCACGTTGTCTGGATGCCCGACCACCGTCTCCCAAAGCAGTTGCTACTCCGAACTCAAGAACGGAAAACGGAATGTTGGTGGGCAGGAAAAGAGATTTAAAGATGGGCTCAATGCCAACCTTAAAAACTTTGGCATAGACACTGAGAACTGGGAAGCCCTGGCCCTTGAGCGCTCCAGTTGGAGGTCAGCTGTGACCAGCAGTGCTGCAGAATTTGAAGAGGCACGAATGGAGGGCGAAAGGGAGAAGCATGCCAAGAGGAAGGCGCGTCAAGCCAACCCCGACTGAGACCGCCTTCCACTTGGAAACCAATGCCCTCACTGCGGAAGATGCAGATCAAGAATAGGGCTCCACAGCCACATACAGACCCACAAGAACACTGGAAGACAATCATCCTTAGAAAGCGAGGGATTGCCTAAGATATGTGTGTGTGTATATACATGTGTATATATTTGTGTATTTGTGTTTATATGTGTATATGTATATTGTGTATATGTGTGCTTGTGTATATGCATATATCCGTGTATGTATGTGTATATGTATGTGTAGGTTTATATGTGTGTATATGTGTATATTTGTGTGCTTGCATATATATGTGTGTGTGTGTGTATGCGTGCATGAGTATATGTATATGAATGTATGTGTATATGTGTGTAGGTGTATATGTATGTGTGCATATGCGTATATTTGTGTGTGTTTGCAAATATATGTGTGTGTGTATCTGTCTGTATGTATGCGTGCATGTGTATACATATATGAATGTAGGTGTATATGTATATGTGTATATTTGTGTGTGTTTACGTATATATATGTATGTGTGTATGTATGTATGCATGTTTATATGTATATGAATGTATATGTATATTTGTGTAGGTGTATATGTATGTATGTATGTGTGTATATGTGTATATTTGTGTGTGTTTACAAATATGTGTGTGTGTGTGTAATTTAATATTAATATATAATATTATATATGTATGTATGCGTGCATGTGTATATGTATATATTTGTCTGTGTTTGCGTATATATATGTATGTGTGTATGTGTATGTGTGCATGTTTATATGTATATGAATGTATATGTATATTTGTGTAAGTGTATATGTATGTATGTATGTGTGTGTATATTTGTGTGTGTTTACAAATATATGTGTGTGTGTATCTGTATGTATGCGTGCATGTGTATATGTATATTAATGTATATGTATATATGGTTTATTTTGGGGGGGTTAAAGTCCGTTCTGCAGATTTTTTTGTCTTTTTTTAGGGGTGATGATCACTCGTTGGACTATTTGGTGTATTGTATCAAAATTTCATGTCACTTCATCCAGTGGTTTCTCAGTTATGTTTCTCCCACATTACATTTATAGATATAGATAGATAGGTCTATGAAAGCTTCTAAAAGGGAACTCCTGCCTCCACGTTTCCTCCTGGTCCGCCCTGAGAGCGCTTCTGCTGCTGCCGTCAGAGGAGGGGGTCACCTGAGGACAAGGAGAGAGGCGAGGCACGCGACGTGAGGCCTTTGTGTGCCGTAATGGCCTCTAGGCCGCCGCAGACCACACTTCCCAGCATGCACCGCGCCCCGCAGCCGACTCCTGTCTGGCGGGCTGAGCAGCGAGGCTTCTTCGCGCCAACCACTGCGTCACTCGGCTCACGAAGGAAAAAAACTACCAGCCCCATAATTCACCGCGCGGCCTCCCGCTGACACGTCACTACAACGCCGGCGGGCCATTGGCGGCTTCGAAGCCCCGCCCCTAAACGTTGTTGTCCCCGCCCTCCTCGCCGCCAGACGGCCTATATAAGTCGCGTCAGCGGCCGCTCTCCGCCTTTAGTTCCTGGCGTCTGAGAGGAGAAAGATGTATCGTTTCCGTTCACGGGCCTCCACGGGGATTTCTGCCGCTGCTACAGCTTTGCCTATTCTTGCTTGCCTGCCTCAATCACATCCGCTGCCTCGGTCCGGGAAGCCGGCCTCACAAAGACGTTTCTATAGTAAAAAGCGCTCCTGCTCGTCTATCGGCTGATTGTCACTGAGGCCCGAGCGAGGGTTCTAAACACAGGCCAGGCCGGAGGGAGGCAAGGGCCGGAGCGCCTCGGAGCCGGAGCGCCAGGGGGAGCCGCGCGGAGCCGCCGCCGCCGCTTGACAGGCCCACGCCGAAGCCATGCCGAAATCCAAGCGGCGAGGAGGAGGAGGAGGGGGCAACTCGCGCGGGACAGCAGCAGGTGAGGCCGCCCAGCGCGCATGCGCCCCCGCGCCGCGGAGCTCCCTGGGAACTGTGGTGCCTCTGCGTYGCAAAGGAGGGGAGATTGGGGTGGGGTGGGGGCATGYGAGGGGCGGGCCTAGCGCCTGCCTGTTTGTGTTTATTACCATCTATTGTTCTATGATAATATATAGCATAGATATAATTTATTTTAGACATCACYGATATTATTTTAAATCATATTATTATCATTACATTAAACTTATTTATGTATCTCTCCTGCTTTATCTCTCCATATGGACATTCAAAGTGGCTCACAATCAAAAACATTACAACTTGTACTATATTTGCATATTTCATCATTATATCTTATCAGTAGTTATATTTAATATATTAGTATTACTCTATAACAGTATAGTTATATATTAAAGTACGATGGCGCAGTGGGTTAAAGTGCTGAGCTTGTTGACAAGCTCACAGGTTCAAATCCGGAGAGCGYRGTAAGCTTGCACTGTCAGCTCCAGCTTCTGCCAACCTAGAAGTTTGAAACATGCAAATYTGAYCAGATCAATAGGTAGGAAGGTAARGTCACTCCATGCAGTCATGCTGGCCACATGACCTTGGAGGTGTCTATGGACAACGCCYGTTCTTCGGCTTAGAAATGGAGATGAGCACCACACCCCCAGAGTCTGACACGACTAGACTTGATATCAGGGAAGAACCTATCAGTATTATATTGTATTGCACTATAATAGTATTATCAATGTTACACATATATACAATATAATATTAGCGTAGCACAATATTTGTATTATGTATTACTACATTGTACTAGTCCACTATACTGCAATATTATTAGTAATTTCACATGTAATATATAATATGCAAATATATTACTATATATTATAATATTGTATTATTGTATTAGTATTATATTTTGTTACACTATAATATCAATATTGCATGTATACTCAATATATCAATATTAGCATAGCACAATGTTAGTATTATATATTACTGTATATATACTATATATTACTATATTGTATTATACCTCTATACTGCAATATTATTCCGAATAATACATGTAATATAATAATATTATTATATTATATATTATTATATTGTACTATATTATTCTACCACAATATATGTAATACACTACCAGTATATTATACTTTTTTTTTAATGTCAGGAGTGACTCAAGAAACTGAAAGTCACTTCTGGTGTGAGAGAATTGGCCATCGGCAATGACGTTGCCCAGGAGACACCCGGATGTTTGATGTTTTACCATCCTTGTGGGAGGGTTCTGTCATGTCCCTGCATGGGGAACTGGAGCTAACAGAGGGAGCTCAACCTGCTCTTCCCAGATTCGAACCACTTGACCTCTCAGTGATCAGTCCTGCCAACACAAGGGGTTAACCCATAGCACCACTGGGAACTCCAATTATACTATTAGTATTATATAATATATTGTACTGTATCAAAAGTTGTAGTATATATAAAATAATTATATATTATATATACTCCAACTTTTGATACAGTACAATTATATGTGTAATATAATACATATTACATTACAATGCTATGAATATAATAATAAAATTTTATTTCTAACCTTCACGTCTCTCCCCAAATGGACTCAGAGCGGCTTCCAAATGTAACACAAACAAGGCAGACATTCAATGCCATAAAATATAAATATTTACACTAACACAAAAGTTTTCACTCCTTTCCTAAATGATAAAAAAGTAGTGCCAGCCCTGAATTCTCTAGGGAGAGTGTTCCACAAAGCTGGGGCCTTCCCAGAAAAGGTCCCATCTCAAGTAGCTTTAAGACACATTTAAGGTGGGTGTAGAGATGTCAGCTGTCCCTCTCCACTCAAAGTTGCCTTCTGGGTACATAGTAGGAGATACGCAGTTTCAAGTATCCTAGTCTGAGGTTGTAAAGGGCTTTGTAGGTTAAAACAGTAGTTCTCAACCTGTGGGTACCCAGTTGTTTTGGCCTACAAGTCCCAGAAATCCCAGCCCGTTTACCAGCTGTTAGGATTTCTGGGAGTTGAAGGACAAAACATCTAGGGACCCACCAGTTGAGAACTACTGCGTTAAAACCTATATGTCACTACAACATTTGTCATCCTGCAGTTGCCTTGTTCCATTGGGGATTATTTTAACAGTGGTGGCCTTATGAAAGAGAGACCTCCAAGTCCTTTTGTTATGAACTCAGGCTTCCTTGGTTGAGTCTATCCATTTGGAATGTGGCCTTCTTCTTTCCCTATTGTCTCCTATCTTGCTCGGTACAAGGTGCCAATGTAGAAGATTTGGTACCACCAAATCAATAAAAATAGAGCCAAGATTGGTGTGAAAGTTGGCATTGGCTTATGGCAAAACTAGGAATGAGAGACCTCTAAGTCACTATATCACCAAGGTCTTGCAGTCTTAGCTTCCTTGACACAGTTGCATAAAAGCCAGATTGAACTGGATTATGTAGCACTGTGGACTCGGATAACTCAGTTCAAAGCAGATATTGTGGGTTATCTGCCTTTATATTCTGGGTTATATGGGCTGTGGAAGGGCCCCGAGTCTCTCTGAAATATTGTCTTATTTTTTTCCTGCTGCCTTGAACTTTATTTCTATTTTATTGCCTTTTATAGTGAATCATCTTTTTTCATGATGTGTTCCAACAACGTGAGTCTCAATTTAGTCATCTTGACTTTTAGGGCAGAGTTGAGGCTTGATGTGCTCTACAACTCATTTATTTATCTTCTAGGCAGTCCATTGTATTTGGAGTAGTTTTTCTCCAGCTCTAAACAAGTTGCTTTTATTTCTCTCACTTTTTTTCACTATACAGCTTTTAGAAGTCATAGGCCCTAGGCCACGCAAACCCTCCTTCTAGCCTTGGGATTTCCTGTGTGAGGTCAATAATCATAGTAAAATATGTTTGTAACCTGTAATATGCTCACTCCAAGATAAACTGTACACAATGACAGGATGATGGACATGCAGTCTGAATGGATCCTGGCAACCCAGTCCATTCATGCTATCTATGTGATTTTAAAGAAATGTCTTATTAATTCAATGTTTTTAATGAATTGTTTTAAATGTATTCTATTTATGGCTGTGGTTGGCATTTGAATGAATGCCTATTGTGAAACCACCCTGAGCACACACAGGGTGTGTGTGTGAAAAGGATTGGGTTCAAATATGTGAAATAAGTATTAATAAATAAATATTTCTGCCCTAGAGAGATGTTTTAATTGGGATCCATAATTTGTCTGTTTCCTTGTCACGAGATTATGATGTTGCCGTTTGCCTACATACTCTGGTTTATCTCGTGATTGTATAAATCTTTTGCCTTTCTCTACAGTAATGCTCTACAAAACTGCTCAGAAATCATTGACAACTTACTGTACTACCTTCTGGATTCAAAAATGAGCATTGCTTCTTATGCTAAAATACAAATCGTTTCATACATAAGAAGTGGTATAGAACTTCACAAAGTCAGTTTATAGGAATATTTCTATAGCTTTAGTATAATGGGTGGAACATAATCTGTAAAATTATCCAATTATACTATTAGTATTATATAATATATTGTACTGTATCAAAAGTTGTAGTATATATAAAATAATTTCAGTGCTCTGGTTTCAGTGCTCTGGTTCTGATAGTTGGGAAGTGATCATGATGTTATTGATGTGTCATTTAAACACGTAGAGAAGCAACAACATACTGCCCGGCTGCCACAGAGAAAAATGAAAGTCTGAAAAATTGCGTGGGAATAATTCATCACTAATCATTTAAAGAAAGTTAATAAGACAGTACTTGCTGGCATTGTTATTGTAGATAGTATAACATTGACCTTACAAGTGCAGTGAACATGTGGCAGGTCTTACCTGATGATAATAGTTTGCTTTTTAAACATTTCAGTGGGTTTATTTCCTATTGCTACTTGAATTTGATAGTACTTATTAATTATTTGTGCTACTCATTACCTTAGGATATTTGGGAGAGAGGGCCAGTTGTAATACATTAGCAGTAATTTTTAAGTGTTTATTGCCAGCATTAGAGGCACTATGGCAGTTTATTGATTATTGGAGGACAGAAGAGCACATCTGCACTTGCATCCTGCTGGTGGCCTTCTTGGAAACTGATCAGCCATTATGTGGACAGTAATTGGTTCCCTTCATGAACTAAATTGATCTCACCCAACATAATCTGTTTATATATTTGTTGAAAAGGCCAGACATAGATTGAAAAGTCAAAGGATGCAAGATCCAATATGCAGAACCAATGACTATGAACTGGTGCAGTGTATCAATCACAAATCTGCTTGAACTGCTCCTTGCTCCAGCTGTATACTGAATGGGAATATTTGTACATTTACAACAAACCTGGTGAATTGTTTTACCAGATTCTTGGTAAATCTTGGCTTAAAGTAAATTCTAGTTTTCTTAATATATAAAAAAACCCACAAGTTTATTATTTTGCTGAAGTTTGTGGAAAGTCACACACACTCAACCTCAAAGGAAGCAAAGACAAACCTGCTTGAAAAGATCTTTCCAAGAAACACCAGCGATAACTTTGCATTAGGGTCGCCACAAGCTCTAAATTACTTGATGTTACCCAGCTATTTTTCAACCATAATTCCTGTTTGAAGTGAAAATACATTAAAGTTTATTTCTCTTTCTAGATGCACATGAGAATGAAGGGGGAATTGAATAATAGTTACACTTCTGTCAAGTTCTTTTTTACCATATGAAAAGTGGTCACAGACTTTTATTTGACCATAAAAGTTCCTTCTGATAACATGTTGCAAAAGGTTGAGAACAGAAGTTTTCAGCAGACTGGAGCAGAGTGATAGGTTCCTGTTTCTAATGAGCCCCATTTGGCCTCTGCAAATATATTGCTACGTCATTGTATAGTTTCTGGCAGAATCACTTTATTGAGAAGTGGGCTGATCAGGTAAGTTAATGCAGATTTTGTGGCTCACAGAAATGTGTGTATCATCTGGATGTTTCCCTTCCTGCCACCTTCCCTATAGTAGAGCCAGAACTCTATGATTTAGCAGCAGAACATTGTGATAGTATATTAGACTTGAGTAAAACCAAGCTATCAAAGCATTTCCCAGTATTAACATGACCTAACCATGTTTTTCTCAGGTGCCCAGAATAGAAACGTACAGCCTTTTAGTGATGAAGATGCATCCATTGAAACCATGAGCCACTGTAGTGGCTTCAGTGATCCTGCTAGCTTCACTGAGGAGGGTAAGTCAGCTGTTGAGTCTTTATTGAAAGATTGCTGCAGAAATGAAAGATCAACGTAGATTATTCTGAAGTATCATTCTTTGGCAAAAATAAAATGTATTGCGACACAAGTGTGTCCTAACATAAGAACCATTTGCAGTCACAACATGGCTTTTGCTCTGTTTGCTGAATCCTACAAGAATGCCAGATATGATCTTTTTGTATTTTTGTGAGAATGTTCCACTTCATTCCAAGCCCGTCAGGCCTGGGTGAAAGAGCAGAGAAGTGACTGCTATCTCACTCCAACAGCATTGCCTTATGTGTTTTCTAGGATCATATTTACAGGATACCCCTGTTTTCCCAACGTTTTGTAGTTGACTAGAAACACTTCCATGGTTCACTTGTGCCTGACAGACTCTGACACAGTTGCTGCAGGGTCCAAAATCCTGTGTGATTTTGCTACCAAACTCAGTAGAGAGGGAATGTGGGTGGGAATGGATGACAGAATGAAAATGGACTAAAGAGAAAGAAAGATATTGAACAGATGGTGCAGTGGGGAGGAATCATGTGTGGAGGAAGGCAAGGGGGGAAAAAAGAAAATATAGCTGGCAAAACAGGACTGTAGAAAGACCTGCGGGTGGAGAAACAGCTGAAAGATGGAAGTGTTAGCATTGAATTACAAGAGAATGGGGGCATGATTGGGGAATAAATGGGAACTTGCAACATAGACGAAGAGGATGATTGAGGGAAGAATGCAAAAAGGGTGCTGCAAGAATAGTGTGTTATGAGATACCTTATAATGCTTTCTAAATGTTCAGCTAAAACAAGTTGACAAATTTATTAATAGAGCATTCTTGTTTATAAAGTGTAGGAATAGTATGTTAGAAGTTAAGATTCTACCAGGTGTTACTTGCCCTGTGATATGATTGTGAAGGACTTGCTGTCTCTTCTCTTGGGAGTAACCAAGAGTGTGAAGCATTGATTGCTTGTGCCTAAAACAGGGTGTGACACCTTCAGCTAGTAAGATCCCAACAGAACTTAGAGATCAAACGCTGTCAGAGTTTTCTTCAGAATTTCAGGAGTAGTTAAATCAGATGTAGCTTAAAGTATATCTATGTTTCAGATAGAGTAGGGTGATGAAATGCCATTTAAATTACCAAGGATTATTATGTTTATTATTATGTTTAGATCCAGCTTTTCTCTCCAACAAGGACACTCAATGCGGCTGATATGGGCAACACTTGTATAGATCTATTAAAACCACACACAGAAAGTCCATTGCTTTTGTTAGTTACAGGGTAGTTACATTTTCCTATCAATAAAAATGTTCATGGGATGTTGGTACAACTTGGCATCAATTCATGGGCAGGGACATTAGGCTCCTGTACTTCTAGAATTTTTCCATCTCTTTCCAAGGGTGAAGCCACACTAGAATACATTTATTATTCCCGCCCTAAATCACTTCCCATAATAGTGAAAAACAGCAGAGCAGCTGGTAAAGAGTTGACCAGGCAGAATTAGAACAAAAGTTAATGTGATTAAATCAGACCGATGATTTCCACAAGACTCACAACAACTTGTAGTGAGTTTCTCCAGATTAACATTTCTGATCATTATGTTATTATATATACCTAGGGGCTGAAGTTGATGAAGAAGCAACCCAAGAAGACATTGAATACAAGCTGAAGGGGTTCATTGACCTTACCTTGGACAAGAGGTATGGGAGGTCTGAGAAGCAGTCTTAAGTGGTTTTCAAAATCTGTCTTGGAGCTCATTGTGTATTAAGGACAAAATACTTGCACAATGAGTGTTTCTAAACTACACTGCACTACTACTGCCTTTAAAAAAAAGTCAAGGGGGAAGTTCTTTGCTATGTCTCATTTTGTAGATGCTGATGTTGCTCAGAAATAGGAAGTACAGCTTTCCGTATCATTTTTTTTAGTAATCTCTTCCTACCACTGCCATGATGCTCTTGGACATTCAATTCATGGCATTTTGGTATTTATTTGCTGTTGCCATTTGTGGCAGAACGGTGGGCACTGTTCAGGTGCTCAGTTCAGAGATGTATTGGGCAATTAATTCTCTTATTCAATATATTTTCTTTTGATTACCATATCTTCCTCTTTTGCTGGGTATATTGGATTAGAAGTCTCCCCATTTATCAAATAAATTGAAAAGAATGAGCAAGGAATATACAGTTACATTTGAGAAAGTGGTCATCTCCTTTTAGTGGCCACTGGAAACATTAAGAAATCAATAGGATGACATTGGATATGTGCATCAGCTGTCACATTTCCAAGTGGAATGGGATATTATTATTAAATGTTCTTACTAAATCAGTGATCGTAAAGATGTGGTTTTCAAGTACTGTGGGACTGCAGCTCCTATCCACCTAGTAATTGTTTTGTTTAGGACTGATGGGAGTTGCAATCCCAGAACATTTGGATAGGCAGAGTTCCTCACACCTGATCTGTAACACTAGTTTACTTGATTCTAAATGAGTAATTGAATCTAAACCAATGGTTTAAAAAAAAAACTAATCTGGAAGTGTGGCACCATTTTCAACTGACCATTAAGAAGGAATTGTTCCATGTTTTTTCCTGATAGTGCGAAGACAAGGCAGTCAGCTCTTGAAGGTCTTAAAAATGCCATGACCTCAAAAATACTTTATGAGTTCATCCTGGAAAGGAGAATGACGCTAACAGATAGCATTGAACGCTGTATAAAGAAAGGTAAACCCAGCTATAACTATAGTTTGTATATCTTATTGTCAAGATTAATTCCTTTCAGATACAGTTTTATAGCAAGTTTTTATTGGCTGTCTTTGTAGGCAAGAGTGATGAGCAGCGTGCAGCAGCCGGACTGGCTTGCTTACTATGTGTGCAGCTCGGGTCAGGGATTGAAAGCGAAGAAGTCTTCAAAACCCTTGCACCAATTCTGAAGAAGATACTTAGTGATGGGTCAGCTAGTGTACAAGCAAGGCAAGCTGTAAGTAAAGGAGGGACATCTGGCTTTATAAGAAAAGGTTCAGATATATGTTATTTGTCATTGCAATTGAAGCTAAGTAGTCAAATATTCCAGTTGTTAACTGATTTCATATTTTTGGATGGACATAATATCCTATGGTCTACAATAGAGAAGAAAGAGCACCTACTTTCTTACTGTTTGACTGTAGTTATTGGCAGCAAAAAAAAAGTATAAATTGGCAGCAAAATTCTTGTCCTTCCCTGGTAAACAAATCATACAGGTATTGCAGTGAGTCAGCCAGCAGCAGCGAGCACTTGGAAAGTTTGATTTTCCTGAAGTACATTACATTTAAATAACAATACTGGTTTAATAGTGTTACTCATACTAATATTGTTATAAGTGACTAGCAGTAATGTTACTTGCCACAAACTGTAAATAGACTTTTGTTGCTTGTGGGATGCTTTGATACCAATGTGGTCAGGCAGGGCACACTCAAACTGTTAATTAAAAGAAAGTCTTATCAGCAACATTGATGTTGCTAAGCATATCGACGTCTCTGATCGTAAAAGGTAGATGAATGTGAGCTGACTGGACTTAAGCCAATGTTAGATTCCTTAAGCCAATTAGACTTAAGCCAATAGAGCTAAAGCAACTGTGTTGGCCAATAGACGTTGGCAAGTCCCTGAGTATAAAAGGTTAAGTAAGTGCTCATAAATGGAAGATCAAATATCCTAACTCGCTTTTTTCCCCTTGCTTTTAACTCAGTGTGCCACCTGTTTAGGAGTCTGTTGCTTTATTGCCACTGATGACATCACGGTAAGGAAGTTTTCTGATTAATTATTCCTGCTTAATGATTGGTTCCGGTGAATCTGCTTAGCAGCTTACTTAATCTGTTGTTTTTAAAACCAGGAGTTATATTCAACGATGGAATGCCTGGAGAATATTTTCACAAAATCCTATCAGAAGGAGAGAAATTCAAACGGTATTTCAAGTACCCAGAACACAGTTCTTCACATCAGTGCTCTCTTGGCCTGGACCCTTCTGTTGACCATTTGTCCAATGAATGAAGTGAAGAAAAAACTTGAAATGTAAGCATTCTGTGCCATGCAGAATTACTTGAGAACTGCAATAGGGAAAAGCAAATATCTCCCAGCCTCCCCCCCCAGGTTTTTTTAAGTGGAGGAGTCTTGTAATTTTGCTATGACGGGTAAAATATTCTAGTTCTGAGAGTGCCATTTTCTCTGGAATGTATTGAAGGCATTTGGAACTCAACATACCCTGTGAAATTATGCCTTGACTGGAATATACTCAAAACGCATCCATCCCCTTCTGCCTCTGACTCCTGAAAAAGTACATCTGAAATTTCACAGGCCCAGTGTTGCATTCTTTAAAATATGCCTTTCTTTACAGATAAGTAAAATGCCTCTTCTTTTCTCCTAGGCACTTACATAAATTTCCCGTCTTGCTCTCTTGTGATGATGTAAACATGAGAATTGCTGCAGGAGAAACATTGGCTCTTCTGTTTGAACTGGCAAGAGAATCGGATGCAGTAAGTGCAAGCAATCCTAGAGCAGAATGCTGAAAATGAAGATGACACCTTTGTCTTGATTTTTACAACATATATCACATTCTGGTGGAGCAATATAGTGTGTATATATCTGTACATACAGTATACTGGCCTAAATATTACTACCCTGTTGCCTTTATACTATTATACACTATAATGTGATCTTGCAGTATGCTACTCAATTACCATATGCCAACAGTGACAGTACAGGCAATCCCAGGTTGCAGACGTCTAACTTGCAAATGACTCCTAGTTAAGAACAGGGAGGAGACAACAGGAAATGAGAGAAATCTTCCCCACGGAAGAGAAATGCACTCCTGGAAGAGTTATCATGAGAAAAAAGAATCTCAGATGAAGCTTTGTCACAAATCTTTGTTTCCACAAGTCACATTTTCCAAAATCCAATGATCACAGAGACAGAAAATGAGGTGAAATCTTTTGAACAGGAGCCCAGGCAGCAAAACAAACAACACAGGAGTGTTAACCCTTCCCTATGCTATATCTAAAGCTAGAAAAATTATTTTTTTATCTGGAGTTACACTTAAAAATCTTGTTCATAACTTAGGGACTGCCTGTAGTTGTAAACTTGAGGTACTTCTTGGATTTATACCATAAGACAGCTTTCACTTGGTTGGTTTGAATTGCTTCTGAACTCATTTGCTTTATGAATTTTCCCTATCCCTTTATTAATGTATTTTACTGTTTCCTTTGACAGTGTGGAAGAATAGTATCAACTTACCTAGGTTCCTGTCTTGGGAAGGCAGCCAGGAAAACCTTTGGCAACATAGGATTGCAGAATGAGCCAAGGATCTGTTCTGATTCATATGATAGAATCATTTCCTGCAGTTTGATTTTGAGCTATTGAAATTTAGAGTGCTGGACTTCAATGCACTTAATCTATTGTCATCAGATTTTGGATATTTCTAAATACCGTATCGACCCCATTAACTTTAAATTCTTCATTCTTTACATTGTCCTTATTCAAATACAAGCTGTTCTTCAGCCTGTTTATTGTTTCATTGACTGCCTGCATCCAATTATCCCTAGCCTTCATAGGAATGGATGATTTTATATTACAAATGCTTATGGGATAAATAACTTAGGCTGGCTGAATTTACATCAGAAGAGAAAATGGGACAGAGGGAAGAAAAGAGAGCATTCAAATATTAAACATCATCACAGATACAGTGATATAAATAGTTTGGAAGTTGAAAATTAATCTAGTTTTTTCAGTTACAAGGAAAGTGAGTGCTATTTTCCCAGGGTTTAAAGTCCAGATGCTGTTTAAGTACCAAAACAGTTGAAACTGATGGCTGCCCCCTCACATACATTATTATTTGGCTGTACCAATAGTTGTTCATTCTATTCTTCTGCAGAACCTTAGAATTACAAGTGTGTATTTCAGAAGGTAGCACTCAAAAGCTCCTTCCTTAAAGTCCCTTGCCTTTCAAATTGTGACAGATCTGGCAATTTGTATAGTAATAGGTAATGCTGCTCCTTGCAACGTTTTGACCAAAATGCATGGGTTTATGAAATACTCAACTTCAGCATTGTGGGGGTATCTGAAACTTGAGCCTTCAAAAGCAGCACCATAAACAAATGTTCCTTTTTCTTTGACAAGGATTTCTTTTATGAAGATATGGAGGTCCTGACCCAGAAATTGAAGGCGCTGGCTACAGATGGGAATAAGCACCGGGCAAAAGTGGACAAAAGGAAACAGCGATCTGTCTTTAGAGACGTTTTGCGAGCAGTAGAGGTAAGCAGTTAAGAAAGAAGCCATGTGCAGTGGACCAGTGGTATCCTCTGGGATTTGGTTCCAGTATCCATGCATTAGGAAATATGTGCAGTGACAATTGGATCATGTGATTTTTAATATTTATACTAGGATGTTTTTAATGCTTTGTTTTAAAGTTGTTTATGTCTCATGTTTAATCGTTTTAATGATTTATAGTTATATGTTAGTGTTTAGTTATTATGATTTTTTTCTTTCTATATGTTTATGGCATTGAATTTTTGCTATTTATATGTTGTAAACTGCCTTGAGCCCCCCACCCCACTCTCGGTGAGACAAATGGTATATAAATATAGTAAATAAATAAATTCAAGTCATACCACATACTTGGCATTTTATACCATAGTAAAGGTTTCCCCTGGCATTAAGTCTAATTGTATCTGAGACTGGGGGCTGGTGCTCATCTCCATTTCTAAGCTGAAGGGCCGGTGTTGTCTATAGATGCCTCCTAGGTCATGTGGCCAGCATGACTGCATGGAGCGCCGTTACCTTCCCACAGAAGCGGTATCTATTTGCATGTTTCCAAACTGCTAGGTTGGTAGAAGCTGGGGCTAACAGCGGGAGTTCACCCCGCTCTCCAGATTCAAAACGCCAACCTTTCAGTCAGCAAGATTAGCAGCTCAGCAGTTTAACCTGCTGTGCCACCATGGTTGGAGAATTTTGTAGCTAATTGACTATTGTTTGCCTTTACATGATGGCTTATCATTTTTAAAATCTTACACAGTATTGATTGCATCCTCTCTTTTTTTCAGGAACATGATTTTCCTACAGAGACAGTCAAATTCGGACCAGAGCGCATGTACATCGACTGTTGGGTCAAAAAGCAAACATACGATGCTTTCAAGGAAATCTTAGGGTCGGGGATGCAATGCCACTTGCAGGTAATTTGTCGAGTCAAAGCACTTTCCTTTATTAGTTTTCTGCCTTTCTCAAAAGACAATTCACTGTAGAAAAAGGAGCTGGAAACCACTTGGTGATATAATGCTTCCATTTTAGTTGGCTATGTAAGTGTGATGATGACGATGTTGTATTGTAATATGTTTTTAATTGTATAATGATGATGCATTGTGTGGTTTGTATTTCTGTATATGAACACATGTTGTGAACTGGATCTGAGTCCCTCTTGTAGGTGAGAAGATCGGTATAGAAAACTTTGAAATAAATAAATACCTCCATTTTATCTGTCGAAACAAGACAGGGCTATGCCTCCAGTTGGGAGTCTATGAAATTATCTGTTAAATAAGAATCATTTAACTGGGAATACCTATGGAATAAAGGATTCAGATTTATGCTTTCTGTATCAATAAGGAAGAATCTTTATAAAATGTTTTATAGATACTATAACACCTCAGCAACATTGGCAAAAATAGATAAATCACAACAAAGTATTTGCTGGAGGTGTAGGAAACAGAAAGAGACATTTTTGTGACTGCTGTGGCATCAAATTGCTGCCAATTTGTAAGCCACCTTGAGTCACCTTTGAGCTGACAAAGGTGGGATAGAAATACCGTAAATAAATAATAAATAAAATTTTCCACATGTGGTGGACCTGTGAAACCATACAGGCATTTTGGGATAAGGTAACTAAGGAGACAAATTAAACGCTACATAATAATATAAAAATCCCAGGGTTGTGTCTATTAGGTCTATCTAGAGAAAACAATAATCCAAAAGGACCAAGAAATATACCAATATCGCTTTGCTGCTTCAAGATTAACCATAGCCAAAGGGGGAAAAAGTTTAACTGAAAAGGATCAGAGAGAAAGAATGTGTGAATATATGCTAATAATAATAATAATAATCTTTAGTCCTCTGTCTCCCCTAGAGGACTCAAAATAATGCAGAAAGCATACAAAGTAAGCAAAAATAGGCATAAAATTATTAATACAAACATACATTATAACCAATTCCATCACTATTCTATCATGCAGAATAAGCTACCAGGGGCCAGAATTTTCAAAATGGGCCTAGACAACTTGAGAAGGCTGGGCCGAAGCTAGTGCAGAGAAAACATGGAGCCGGGGGAATTAGTAAAGTGCAAGGACCAGTCTCAAAAGCAATATATGGCCAAATTAACCAACAGAAGGAGGAACAAAAGTAATGAGGACTTTTTGGAAAAGTGGAAGTTGATCGTGGCATATCTAAGTGGAGAGTCAGTGACATAGAGAAGCACCATTAGTAATCTGATTAGGTTATGAACAAGGATAGATAAATTGACTTAAAGGCTTCATAGTGCTTGGAAGTCATGTGGGGAAGAGGTTTTATTTTGTGTGGGATGTGGGTTTTGGGTGTGTGTATGGTTTGTAATACTTTGTGTGCTGTGGTTTGAATGTTATGGTGAACTCTCATATTAATAAGAAAATTCAACAAAAAATATGAATCATTGAATACTCTTATATCCTGTGCAGTCTAATGAACTACTCCGGAACGTGTTTGAACTTGGGCCACCACTGATGCTTGATGAAGCAGCTCTTAAAACCATGAAGATACCCCGTTTTGAAAGGGTATGTTGGTCACCTTCACTTGATGCTGAATTACTGGGTTTGTTTTTTCCTGCTAAATATTGCTTCTTCCTCGTGATTTTCTAAGGGCATTTAACTATTACCAGTTGGCAAAAGCAGAAATTGAATAGGTCCTGTGCAGATTGTTCTTGCTTTACTTCTCACTCAGGCTGGGGGTTAGCTAAGTAACACAATAAAAGTTATGTGGCTATTTTGGATCATTATTGCCGAGTTTGGGTTTACCTCCCAAAATTGTGGTTACATGAATTTAGGCGGGGGGGGGGGGGGGGGGGACATTAGGGAGTGAATTGAGCATGCAGACAAGCTTAGAAAACTTGCATGTTTTCTGAATACTTCCCTAGCCAGCCTTTGTAACATTTTTGATCACTTTTTGAAGCTTCTCAAAGCTTTAAGCTTATGAAAGAAAGTTTTACTGTGAAATCCATCAACTGTGCATAAATATGCATTATGTTGAAAATAACAAAATCTTTTTTTTGTTTGGCACAACATCTTTTGTTCTGTCTTTTTCCCTACTTTGGGAACAGGATATTGGTCTTAAAAAGGAATTTGAGTAGATCTAGCTCAGGCATGGTCAAACTTTGGCCCTCCAGATGTTTTGGACTTCAACTCCCAAAATTTCTAACAGTTGGTAGGCTGTTAGGAATTGTGGGAGTTGAAGTCCAAAACACCTGGAGGGCTGAAGTTTGTCCATGCTTGAGCTAGCTGGACTTTTACTGTCCTTTAGTGTGGTACACTCTATTGCCTATGTGTGTTACGTTTGTTCGGAGACTGTATAACTTTCTAAACCAACAAGCATTGCTTTAGCTGTATTAAGTGGTATTGCTGTTTCTCTCTTTCGTTTACAGCATCTGTACAACTCTGCGGCATTCAAGGCTCGGACGAAGGCTCGAAGCAAATGTCGTGATAAAAGGGCAGATGTGGGCGAAGTGTTCTAGAGCAACTATTGAAGATTGTTAGCTTTGGTTAAAATCCAGTTCCTGTTTAGTATAATGTACTGCAGTGTTTATAATGAAATGAGGCTTTTTTAACTGTTTGTACCTCTTGGGTATCTCCTTGTGCATATTTAGATTAATTGATGTAACATATGTAGAAAATGTAATGTGTGTAGGTTAGAATGTAGAAGGGTGGGAGGGAAGCTTCCGACACTTTAAGATTGGCTCTTCAATCGGGCATAATTCTTCCATCACTATTAGTTATATGGTGCTGAGGCCTGTTTTGATTCTGCTCTTGGTTTTAGCAAACTAAAGAAGTAGATGCTGCATTCTCGGAAGAATACTCTGCTGGGCAAAACAAGCCTCCAAACAAGCTGCTATTTTTTTAGTCAACGGAGCATTTTTAAAATATAAAACTGTAGGCTAATAAATGGTCATGGTATACCACATGGGGAGACCTTGAAGCTCAACCTGTATTTACAATGAAGTAGCACAAATGTTAAATGAAAAGTTACACACTGTATGCTGAAACTTGGATAATAAAGCTTATTATCACTGAAAGCTGCTTTTTGTGTACACTCTGTCTGAAATGGGTTGTGGCAAAGGATATGAACTGCTCTGTGTAAATAATGAGGGGAAAGGATCAACAACTTCCAGATCGCAAAATGCAAAATGGAGCTGGAGAGCAACAGATGTGGAACTTCTGTGTCTCTCGAGCCCTGCCAGCTTCTTCCAGGAACATTTTCAGGGCACCCTGGAGGGTCCATTATAGTAAATTTCTCTACTTCATGACATCCAGATTTCCTCCCTTCATTTTCTATGTGACCCTTCTGTCACCCCTGTATAGCAAATCTAATGATCAGAGTGATGAGAGTTGTAGTTTAGCATCTAGAGCAGTGGTTCTCAATCTTCCTAATGCCGTGACCCCTTAATACAGTTCCTCATGTTGTGGTGACCCCCAACCATAATTTTTTGTTGCTACTTCATAACTGTGATTTTGCTACTGTTATGAAACATAATGTAAATATCTGATATGCAGGATATATTTTCAGTCAATGGGTCAAATTTGGCACAAATACCCAATACACCCAAATTGGAATACTGATGGGGTTGTGGGGAGGGTATTGATTTTGTCATTTGGGGGTTGTAGTTGCTGGCATTTATTGTTCCACCTACAATCAAAGAGCATTCTGAACAACAACGAAGTTGAGCCAAACTTGGCACACAGAACTCCCATGACCAAAAGAAAATACTGGAAGGGTTTAGGTGGACATTGACCTTGAGTTTTGGATTTTTAGTTCACCTACATTCAGAGAGCACTGTGGATTCAAACGATGGATCTGGACCAAACTTGGCATGAATACTCAATATGCCCAAATGTGAACACTGGTGGAGTTTGTGGAAAATAGACCTTGACATTTGGGAGTTGCTGGGATTTATAGTTCACCTACAATCAAAAAGCATTCTGAACTCCACCAATAAAATTGGGCCACACTTTCCACACAGAACCCTCATGACCAGAAAATACTGGCAGGATTTGAGAGGAATTGATAGTGATTTAGGGGAGAGCATGCCTGCTTTCCTCACCCCACTTGGGGTCTCAGAAACAGCCCTCTCCTTAGCTGAGAGGTCAGCCAGTCACAGGACTTTTGGTGGGAGGATTCGCCGTCTGTTTCCAAAAAGGAAGAGACTGATAGGCAGAGAGATCATCAGCCTTCTCTGCCATAGGGGTTCCTAAGACCATCAGAAATATGTGTTTTCTGAAGGTCTCTGGCGACCCTTCAGAGACCCCCTCACAACCTCCCCCAGGGCTCTCGACCTCCCAGGTTGAGAAACACTGATCTAGAGGAGCATAAGTTATCAACTCTAGCACAAGATGTCATAATTATACTTTTCCACAATGCTACTTTGGGTCAAGAAAGGGTGGCAACCCGTGTTGTCTGTACAACGGTTTTGTAAAGATGAACGGTAGTACCGCACTACTGTCTTTGCATACTATAGCTGGCCTATATAGATGTTTCTGGGTATAATATGTATTATAGAATAAAAGTTTCAAATATAAAGAGACTGAAGTTTCATCTGAAAACATGTAAATCAATAAAGTAGTTTTGTTGCTAAAGGAAAAAGAATTATAAAACCTTTTGTGCAATGGCCACAAAATGTCTATGCCCTGCCTCGTGATTGGAGGATGTGATAAAAGGGCCAGTGGTTATAGAGAAGAACTCCTGGACTATTTTAAGACTCTACACAGAAGTCTCTTAAGGTTCCATTCTGGAATAGTAAATGCACTCCAAGTAATACTGTAAATAGAGCAGATGAAATCCCAACTAGGCTACTTCCCCCAAATACTTTCATGTGGCTTGAGTTTTGCTTGTCTATTATTGACCCTAGATTCTTGTTCGGGCTGTTAGCTGGGTTAGATGAAGAGACAGCATTGAGGAGAAGTCAGCACTGCCTATTTGAACCTTGCCAATATATTAAGACGGGCTACCAGTGATGGTCAGATAGGGTTTCAGGACTTTATCCTTGTTTTTTTATATTGGAAGGTCTCTAAGGCCTCTTCTTTTTGTTGTTGTTTGTCTTGGGAGGAGAGCAATGACCAATCTCGATAAAATAGTGAAGACTAGAGACATCACACTGGCAATGAAGATCCGCATAGTTAAAGCAATTGTATTCTCCATAGTCACCTAAGGATGTGAGAGTTGAACCTTAGGGAAGGCTGAGCGAAGGAAGATAGATGCTTTTGAACTGTGGTGTTGGAGGAAAGTTCTGAGAGTGCTTTGGACTGCCAGAAGATCCAACCAGTCCATACTTCAAGAAATAAAGCCCAACTGCTCATTGGAGGGAAGGATAGTAGAGGCCAAGATGAAGTACTTTGGTCACATCATGAGAAGACAGGAAAGCTTAGAGAAGACAATGATGCTGGGGAAAATGGAAGGAAAAAGGAAGAGGGGCCGACCAAGGGCAAGATGGATGGATGGCATCCTTGAAGTGACTGGATTGACCTTGGGGCTGGGGGTGGTGACGGTTGATGGAGCTCTGGCGTAGGCTGGTCCATGAGGTCACGAAGAGTCGGAAACAAATGAACAACAACAACAACAAAAGATCTCTTCTACACTGCCCTATATCCCAGGATCTGACCCCAGATTTTCTGCTTTAAACTGATTATATGAGTCTCCACTACCAGATAGTCTGGGATAAGAAGATAATCTGGGCTCAGATCCTGGGATATAGAAGCAGTGTGGAAGGAGCCTCAGACATTATTCACCCCCCTTTTGGCTAGTCAAGGATAAATATGAATACATATATAGCCTCATTCATACAAAATCAGAATATATGTGCAAGTTTTAATATGCAATGCAAAAATCATGGTAAATGTGGCATCGGCATGCTTATTTCCACAATGCTATAAATTTCACGGCAATTGTTATACATTCTGGTCTTGATACAGACTTTTTTGAATAGCCATTCAACTGGTATTTGTTTCATGCCTTAATTGAATTTCTCTAAGCTAAAGTGATTCCTCAAACAGTAACATTCAGATGTTTTCATTTTTTTTTCCCTACAGATAGACAGTCTCACCAGAAATGGGAATTGTGTAGCTAACTAAATGTTGTTCCAGTGGAACTCCCAGCGCCCTTCACTATTAGGCTAGTGATGGCTTTTGGGACTGGAGCTTAACATCTGGAGGACTACATAATTCCCACCTGTCTATATATTCAGAATATATATTCAGAATATATAAAAATATGAGAAGACAGATGCATTCCAGATGTTGGATTGCTACTCCCGCTAATAATGAAAGTTGCAGATTAACATGTGGAATGCTACATATCACCTAGGCATGCCTTATGATCAGGGATAGTATAATTATTCTAGAACATATCCAGTGGCACGCAAATGTTTGTATGATTTTTTTCAACCTGTTGCTCTGTGCCTTCACATCATTTCCAATTTACGGTCATCCTAAGGTCAATCTATCACTGGGGTTTCATGGCAAGATTTGTTCACATGATGTTTGTTTTTCCTTTCTGCTGAAGTTTAGAGACCATGACTGGACCAAGGTCACCTGGCTCTCATGGACGAATATGGAATTGAACTCTGGTTTTCTGGAGTCCTGGTCCGGCACACAAACCAACACAGAACACTGAGTTCTCATATTTGTTGTTGTGGGCTATCAAGTCCATTCTGATCTATGGCAACCCCAAGATGAGCTAACCACTTTTCTTGACAAGATTTGATCAAATGGCATCTGAGAGAGTGTGTGTGTGACTTGCCCAGTGGGTTTCATGGCCAAGCAGGGGTTTGAACCCTGGTCTCCAGAGCTGCAACCCAACGCACAGATCACTATACCATAAAATCATAAGAGTATTAAGTATCCAGTCACTGTGCCATACAGGAACACCCAGTCAAAGCATCTTGACAGTTGGCCATCCAGCCTCTGCTTAAAATTCTCCAGAGAAGGAGGCTACCATGCTCTGAGGCAGCATATTCTGCTGCTGAACAGCTCTGACCACCAGAAAGGTCTTCCTGATGTATAGGTGGAATCTCTTTTCCTGCAGTTTGACTCTCTTGCTGCATCCTTGAAGGAGCAGAAAACAAGCCTGCCCTCTCTTCAATGTGACATCCAATCAAATACTTAGACATGGCTATCATGTCCCCTCTCAGCCCTCTTCACTGAGATAAACACACCCAGCTCCCTAAGGGTCTCTTGTTAGGGCTTGGCTTCCACATCGGCTTACTTACAAAGAAACCGCCCCAGTGTGACTGAAGCTACAAGAAGAATATTTCACCGCAGCCTTCGTTTTTCCTCACTACTTGAGTTGAAAGTATAGGAAAGAAGGTAATTGAAAGGCCAGAAGAGTCAATAAATTGAGATCTAGTTTATGAAATCTACATGATGAGCAGCATCTTTGCTCCAACTCCTGTCCTAAGAACATGCTTGGCGAATTTACCAAAGTCTTTCTTAGTCCTTCCTACAATGGCCGACCAGATGAGCAGGATATGAATAAACCCTGATAATATGCTGTCAAAGGCCTTCATGGCCGGAATCACTGGGTTGCTGTGAGTTTTCCAGGCTGCATGGCCATATTCCAGAAGCATTCTCTCCTGATGTTTCGCCCACATCTATAGCAGGCATCCTCAGAGTTTGTGAGGTCTGTTGGAAACAAGCCAAGTGAGGTTTATATATCTGTGGAATAATGTCCAGGGTGGGAGGAAGAACTGTTGTCTGCTTGGAGCAAGAGTGAATGTTGCAATTGGCTGCCTTGATTAACATTAAATGGCCTTGCAGCTTCAAAGCCTGGCTGCTTCCTATCTGGAGGCATTCTCTTTTGGTATGTGTTAGCTGGCCCTGATTGTTTCTTCTCTAGAATTGCCCTGTTTTTTAGTGTTGTTCTTTATTTATTGCAACATTCACATTTGCCTCCAACAGACAAGAGTTCTTTCTCCCACCCTGGACATTCCAGAAATATATAAACCTCACTTGCAGAGTTTCCAAAAGACAACACAACCTCGGAGGATGCCTGCCACAGATGTTGGTGAAACATCAGGAGAGAATGCTTCTGGAACATGGCCATACAGCCTGGAAAACTCAGCAATCCAAACTTAATAATATTTAATTATCTGCAGGGGATACTGTATATGTTCTGTGCTAGTTCTCTTTATATTGAGAGAAAAACACACCAAAAAAGAGAATGTAGTCAGTATTTTTTATTATTAAGATGGAAGGCTTCATATCTATTAAATTACTCTCCCTAATCAAATATGTGAAACCTGACAACTTGGCTGAATGGAATACTAAATATAGAGAGGACACACTGTTTCAGAGCTGAGCTTGTGTCTTTAGTGGAGACACTCCAATGGATTTCCAGAGGAGAAGGAGAATAACAAACACTATATTTTCTGCTGGAACATAATGCTGGATGGAATTGCGCACCAGAAGTTTAGCTAAGATGTAGCATGTCTAAAATGTAAGTAATTTACAGCTTCACATGACTTCAAATCGGTAAAGAATTATTTCTCCCCTTCTGAGGAGGGGGGCATTTTCTGATCACTACTGTATTTCTTTTAAAAAGAGATTAAAATTATAAGCCAATAACTAAACTAAGATACTAGTTTCTGCTGAAGCAGTAGAAAAGTAGTACTAAAGACCAGTGACCTTATTTTTTATTATATGTAGTATGTACTATTATTATCTACTAGTCACACTTGAGCAAAAGGTCAAATGGATATAATTTCTTGTTCTTTAAATCTTTCGTAAACCTCAAGTACATAAAGGGACAGAATGGTGCTTTAGATTTAAACCCATCAGTCAAAGCCAATTACATTTACTAGAGCTGAGTTAATTTTGCAAGCTTTTGCTAGTTTTTCTTGCTTATTTCCGTAGCAAGGAAGAAAACACGTTCCTTAAAAACAGAAGGGAAAGACCCTGAATATTGTAGGTCAATTTTTAGAAGCTCAAACTGTTCTTGAAATGGTGTATCAGTAAATGGTACAGCTGGCCATGAATGTTTTCATGGGCAAATCCAAAAATAGCAATAATGTCCAAGCTGCTGTTTATTACTCCTGTCCCCATGTGTTAGATTCCCAAGGGAGCAATAGTCCACCTGTCCTAAACTCTGTTTTGCTTGGGGGTGATGTTTGTTAGATATTTTATATCAAATAAGACTTTGTCCTTTGCAACTGGAGCTTTTCCTTGTACTTTTTAAAATTGAAAGTATGATCACTGCTTCTGTTTCTGCTTTCCTTTCCTTTATTACTTAAGGATTACCATATATTTTCTAATATAAACCAACCTGAATATAAGCCGAGGCACCTAATTTTGCCATGAAAAACTGGGAAAACATATTAACTCAAGTATAAGTTGAGGGTGGAAAATGCAGCAGCTACGGGTAAATTTCAAAATAAAAATAGATACCAGTAAAATTACATTAATTAAGGCATCAGTAGGTTAAATAGTTACATAAAACTCTAATTTAAGATAATGTTGCAGCAGATAGGAGAGATAATATCAAGAGAAATCCTTTCTGGAGAAAGAAAAATACGTTTATTTCCAGCTGGGACTCTGATGAGGAGTTGTGTCCAAAAGTAAACCAGAGTGCCCGATAAAGGCATTGACTGTGTCTTTTACACCTCTACAAATGCAGGCAAACAAAGAAACATGCTTCTACATACATTGACATCATTCACTATGTCACTTTAGCATCATAGAAATATCAAATTCTATCTTCCAACATACAAAAGGCATGTCTCTGTATTTCTTTCTAAAGAGCAGCATACAGCTTACAGCTTACATTCATCAATCAAGGGGCCTACTTTGATCCGTCAGGAGGGAGTGGGATAGGCTCCTTACTTAGAAGTTAAATGCTATACTGTACCAGTCTCTGTATAGATAACAGGTCCCCCGTCCTGGAATGTTCACTTCCCTCTTGCTATGCCTGGACAGCAGCTTGGCTTGCCCTGTCAGCTTGGGTTTCTGATACAGAGAGAACTTGATTTTTTTCTTACATTTCAATGCTTGTAATGTTGGAGGAAAGTTCTGAGAGTGCCTTGGACTGCGAGAAGATCCAACCAGTTCATCCTCCAGGAAATAAAGCCCGACTGCTCACTGGAGGGAAAGATACTAGAGACAAAGTTGAAGTACTTTGGCCACATCATGAGGAGACAGGAAAGCCTAGAGAAGACAATTATGCTGGGGAAAGTGGAAGGCAAAAGGAAGAGGGGCCGACCAAGGGCAAGATGGATGGATGGCATCCTTGAAGTGACTGGACTGACCTTGAGGGAGCTGGGGGTGGTAACGGCCGACAGGGAGCTCTGGCGTGGGCTGGTCCATGAGGTCACGAAGAGTCGGAGACGACTGAACAAATGAACAACAACAACAATGTACATACAATATATGCATATATAAATATCTGTTTTTCCAATATCTCCCCATCAATCAGACTGTCCAACTCTGGTCAAATGATTCTTACATATCCTTATGTATCCTTCCAATAATAATAATTTAAATTTCAGGCTTTCCAGCTTCATAAGAGTATGCTTAATTCCAGCAACAGGGGACGCTGCCACTTCATTGTCCACTTGTGGCACTGAGTCTTTGATGGAGTACTTCCTCATTCTTATGCACGCTGCTAGAAGGTTTTATGGTGTTGTAAATTAGTTAAATTAGTCTCTGCACATAAAGCGGTAACCTTAATTTCCTATTTAACAGATGCAACTGTCTTTTGGGCTGCATAGGTCAACAGCAAGCTAGACTATTAATGGTTGGGAGCTCACTCAGATCTGGGGTGGCTCTGAACTCATGACCTCTCGGTCAGTAGTGATTTAATGCAGCTGGCTACTAATTAGCTGTGCCACATGTCCTCATCAAACATGTTCATGATGATGATGGCACTAAGAGAAAGATGAGAGAAATAAGATTATGTTATGCATCAGCTCACTGCCTTTCTAAGGGAGAACATGCCTGAATTTGACAGAAACTGAACAATAAAAATATTTTTGTAGAAATGTTTTAGAAGTGGGATTTTGTGAGAGATGCCAGCAAAGTATGTGAACTAACAGGAGTGCTATGAAAGGTTACAGAAAAAAGATGACCAGTGAGCTTATGCTGCTAACAGGAGTCTGCAGTGTCTTCAAAATTTTGTAAACAATTTACAGTCATCTGTCCATTTGCCTGGGCTTAACATTCACAAATTTGATTGTTCATGTGTTTAAAAAGTTGCCCTGCTTCCTGAAGGGGAGGTTGCCAGGTGAGCATTCCTCCGGCACTTCTGTCCTTTGGATCTGAGTGAAGTGGGCTGTTTGGGGGACAGGTGTGCCACGTATTTCTTTCTTCCGGTACCTCCCATCTTTGCCCAGGAAAAACAGACACTCATAGCATGCAGGAAGAAGAGGAGCCACCTCCATTTGCCCCATGGATCCTCCTCATGTTCCTCTCCTGTGCACTGCTAAATGTCTGTTTCGCCCAGGCAAAGGAAGGAGATTCTGGGCGGTGGGGAAACACAAACTTGTGGTTACAGCAAGAGGAGGATGAACCAAATCAGCAGGGTAAGTGACCCTGTGGGGACTCACTGTTTCTCCTCTTCTTCGTGTTTGCCACATTTCTGTTCTGCCCAGCAACTCCCTTCCATTGCCTGGTTGATGAAACAGATATTTACAGCATGAAGGTAAGAGGAGGAGCTGGCCCCATGTGGCACTGCACTTACCCCATGGATACGGCTCATCTTGCTCTTTCCTGTGTTCTGCAAAAGTCTGTTTCTTGCAAGCAAAAAAAGGGGGAATGCTAGGGAAAAGGAACACATGACACCAGGCCCGTAGCCAGGATTTTGTTTGGGGGGGGGGGGGGGGGGGTGGGGGCTGAGTTTGGTTCGGGGGGGGGGGCTGAGTTTGGTTCGGGGGGGCTGATCTGAGTGAAAGAGGGACTACCCTAGCAAACCTTTTGTATTGTTACCCCAATACCCCCATGCATATGGGATATATTGAGCATGGTGATCAGATCATGATATGAATAAACATAACAGTTTAAATAATGTACCAGTAAGGCCTTCTCGCGGACCACCATGAGAATTTCGGGGGGGGGGGGGCCTGAAACCCCCCAAGCCCCCCCCCCCCCCCGGCTACATGCCTGCATGACACATAGGAAGAGGTAGATGAACTGGATCCAGAGGGTAAGTAACACTGAGGGGGTAGAGGAAGCCAGTTACTCCTTATCTTCCATTTTGCCGTATGTTTGTACAGTATTCCCCTCATTATCTCTTTTCCTTTGCCCAGGGAAAGCAGGGGCTCAGAGCATGCAGGAAGAGGAAAAGGAGCTGGAATTCAAGGGTAGATGAAGTGGCATAAGGAGCCATAGAATCATACAGTTGGAAGAGACCCATGGGCCATCCTGTCCAACCACCTGCGAAGAAGCAGGAAAATTGCATTCAATGCACCCCTGACAGATGGCCATCCAGCCTCTGTTTAATAGCCTCTAAAGAAGGAGCCTCCCCCACACTCTGGGGCAGAGAGTTCCACTGCTGAACTGCTCTCACAGTTAGGAAATTCTTTGTAATGTTCAGGTGGAGTCTCCTTTCCTGTAGTTTGAAGCCATTTCTCTCAGGAGACCAGAGTGGTGGCATATCATTCCCCCCGTCCCTGGGAAATAATTGTTGTTTTCCCATTTTCACAGGGGAACTGCATCCATAATTCCTGTGAAAGGGGTGACTCGGTTCTGCAAACATTTGCTTCATCATATTTCTTAGATTATTAGGGCACAAGACCAAGACATGGATCAATGTTTTTCTCCTTCTTTCTTAATTCTGATTCTCAGAAACAATGGAAAGTCGGTTTTTGGACTGTGTCACTTCAAGTAGAATGTCATATGACTGAATGGTCTTCCATTACAGTAGGACTACTACCACTAACAGTAATTATATCTATATGGAGAAAAAAAGACACCAAAGAATCTGTTTGAGGTTCTTTCCCAGGCAGGGCAGAATATTCAGTCATGTTGTCCCCAACTTCAGGCAGCAGTGATGCCATCCACAGGTCTACCACACTGTCTGTTGCTTTCCAATAGACTTTAGGGGAAATGTAGAGCAATTTTGGCTGCATCGCAATGCACGTTCAACAGAGGAAGTTGCATCTTGTGAAAGGAAATGGCTTACTTTGCTTGTCCTTTTGTTAGCTGCTCCAGAACAAATCTAGCACATAAATGAAATAAACAAATTTAAAAAGCACTGGTAGAGTTCTGAGGAAAGTATGACTCAGGAAATGTGTGCTTAGTGACACAGAAACCAAGGCCAGGGAAGGACACTTGGCAAGTTATCTTCATGCCCTTCAGGATGTCCTTGGTGAAATGCCAAAAGGGTAAAGGCTGACACTGAGAAGATGTATGAACTGCAAGAGAACAGGATAAAGAAGGGGGGGGGGGAGGGGTTTAATTCCTCATAACATTGAAATAATGTCCATATCCTCTCCCACTCACTTTTTTCTTCCATTCCTGATGTCATTCTAGGTTTCTGTTTATCTTTTTTTGCATCCTTCAAAGTATAAGTCTTCAGGATTAAAACAGGATTACAACTTTCCAGAGATAGATTCCCCCAAAGATCAAAAGCCATGCCCATAAGCCACAGATAAGTAAATGCACACACACTTTCTAGCAATTTATCACTTTCAGAGAGCTAACGGGTCTTGTCCATAGACCTTGCCAGCTCAAAATACTTGAAACTGCAAAACAAAACAAATCTAGAAGAACGAGATCCAAAAATGGTTGCACAACAAATACTGGATATAGAAGCTCAGAAACACATTGCTACCCTCAGCAAAGCTGACTCATTGAAATGACTAAGTTGTTTTAAACATACTTTTCAAACATCCCAATATCTAAAGACAAAAATGCCTAAACACCTCAGGAGGGTCTTTACCAGAACTAGTTTCGAACAGCTGGATACAATGGTCATATATAGAAGGTTTAACCAAGTTCCATATACTGAATGATTTTGTATCTGTGCAGCGTCAGAAGAAGAAGATATCGCACTTGTACTGTTTAGTTGTAATTTGTACAAGAAAGAGAGAAACCAATACCTTGGGGCATACATTATACAAAAAACATACTGGGATCTGTATATTAAAGCTACATTTTATTGGCTGGCCAGAATGCTAAAATAACATATAAAATGGCCCTTCTTCTATTTAAAGCAACATAGCAGAGAGCAGAGATCCAGCAAAGGATCG